GGTTGGGAAGGGCCAGTATTTTAGAATAGCATTTTTGTACTTCTGTATATTGTCACTAAAAGAAGGGATTTAAAGTATCCGTGTGTAGCTTCTCCAGGCATTGGCTCATTTTTGCATGGGGATTTGGCTGGAGTGCAGACTTGAGCTGATGCACTTCTGTTCTTGAGAGGTGTCGTTTATACTCAATGCGTGTAGTCGCCAGTTAACCCTGGCACAGAAGGTTGAACACGTGTTTTCAATTCCTCACTTCATATGAAGGTCAGTAATTCCATAGACTCCTTCTGAGCCAGACTCTTGCACTTCATGAATTCAGGGCTCTGAATTCATGCTAATTCAACTCGGCTTCACCATTTTTTGCGCTAAGTCAGCCGGCATCTTTCTTGTAATTTAGAGGAAGTAGCTGTGCTAGTGGGGGAGTCTAAATCTGAAAGGGAAACGGATACCTCAGATGTCCCTTGATGAAAGGTGGTTGGTGAGACTCTCAAGACAGCATCACTACTGTTGTACAGCATTGCACTTTACTGACAATTTCTAGAACTGAATCTTGCATTTGCTAATAAAACCTGAGATTATTTACCATTGAAGTAGCACTTGAATGGAGTGTAGCGCCTGGCTCTTCTCCTCTCCAGCCTTCCTGCCCTGGACCTTGAATGCTTTGTACGGCAGCTGCTCTGTGTGCACTCACTCTCAGCTTCTTAGCTGGCTGATCTACATGTTAGCTGTTTGCAAAACTTATTGATGGGTGTCCCAAATCATTCCAGGACCTGTACAGACACACACAGGGCTTACAACAACCTATAACCGCTTGAGGTGAGACGCTGAGTGATGTTGGGGGCGAAGGGGGAAGGCAGGTGATCCCACTTCTGCCTACTCTGGTGTTCTTGCCCCTTTCTCTGAAGCATCGAAAGCAGGATACGGGGCTAGATGGACCTTGGCTGGGATCCAGTGCGGGAGTGCCCCGTCCATGGCAATAGAAGTATTGAACTCTAGCATCAAACGTTTTGCTGCGAGACAACATTCCCCTTTATTTGCATTCTCGGCTCCAAAAGCAGCACTGATTTGTAATGACAGAAGTGCTGGGGCTCCAGTGATGACTTTTTTTTTTAAACTTTCCCGCCGTGGCAAGTCCAGAAGTGCCGGGGCTCGACCCTGGCCCCAATCTAATTAGTCTAAAAATAATAAAATTATCAGATTGTGATCTGATGGCAGCTCCCTTTTCCCAGCCTCTCAAACACACGGTGCACCTTCCAGCAACAAAAGACAGGACTATGCAGCACTTTAAAGACTAACAAGATGGTTTATTAGGTGATGAGCTTTCGTGGGCCAGACCCACTTCCTCAGATCACATAGTGGAAGAGAATTAGCACAACCAAGTAAAGTAATTTAGGCTGATAAATGCCTACAGACTGGACCAAATTCTTCTCACTTCGTGTTTCTAACTCGTGACTTTTTTTATATGAGGAACTCATGAGCGTTGTGGTTTGGTTTTTTCCTTCAAGCCTCAGTCTTACTAATTTGAGTTCTTTGGTTTCCAAGTGTCGCATTTGGCCTCTAGCTCCGCATGGGGCCGCCTTGATCCACCAGGATTCTTCCCCTGGCTGCGCCCGATGCCTGCTCAAGTCCCCTTTGTGTGTCTATCATTTGTATGGATACGGAAGGATGTGGCTCATCTTTGCGAAGTGCTTTTGAGAACTGCGGAGGAGTGTTGAGCGAGAGCTACGTGTGATACATTGCTCCAGACAGAGCTGGAACCTACCTGCAGAACTGCACGTAATGTCAACATAGGAGGATCACAACAACCCCTATATAACCCCATGCTAATCGCGTGCGGCTCTGTCCCCATTGAGGGCCTTGTCCAGCTATAGAGGGTATAGAGCCCTAGCAGTGTCGAGCTTAGAGCTAAGGCTCCTGGCCTCAGTCCTTGCTAACAAGCCCTGTAAGGACATTTTACTGCACTTCCTTGTTTCGTTAGGAGCTGCTGCTTTGCTTTGCTCTGGCTGTGCATATGCACAGCCTCACTTGATGCTTTTTCCTCATGAGGCCTATGCCTAACATAAGAACAGCCATTCTGGGTCAGACCAATGGTCCATCTGGCCCAGTGTCCTGTCTTCTGACAGTGGCCAATGCCAGGTAACCCAGAGGGAATGAACAGAACAGGGCATCATCAAATGATCCCTCCCCATTCCCAGCCTCTGGCAAACAGGCTAGGAATGCCATCTCTGCCCATCCTGGCTAATAGCCATGGATGGACCTGTCCTCCATGAATTTTTGTAGGGTTTTTTTTAACTGTTTAAAGTCCTGGTTTTGACAACATCCTCTGGCAAGGAGTTCCACAGGCTAAGTGAAGAAAAACTTCCTTTTGTTTTAAACTGGCAACCTATTCATTTAATTTGGTGACCCCTAGTTCTTATGTGATGGTGTAGCGGCTTCCCGCTCGCCACAGCGACACCTGCCGAGTTGGGGAATTAGCCCTGCTGGCCGGTGGCCGGATCCCTCTCCGGACACTGCCCTCCGGCAATGTCCACAACAGCCTGAGCTTCCCCCCTTCCGGGGGCAGTGTGAGAGGCCGGTCGGCCTTCAGGAGGCGGCTCCTTCACCTCCAGCACAGGGGGAGACGTGCCTGCCTCCCTGCATTACCGCGCCCTAAACTAGTCCAGGCGGGCGAGTCTCTTCCTGGCCCTGCTTCTGGTCGGGCCGAGAGGCAATCGTTCGCGCGCCTGGCCTTGCTTCAGGTCCGGGCCGCAGAGAAATAAGCCCCCCACTTGTCAGTCTAGTATCATACAGTTCGGGGCAGGGCAACCGTTCTAGTCCTGTCCCTTTACGAGTCCCCGCCCGATGCACGGACGGTCCCAAACGCACCGCAGGGAAGCCCGGGCTCTTGAGCAGGGTGGCCCACAAATACCGCCAGCCCAACCCAGGCCCTGACGCCAGGCGGGGCCGCACCCAAACCCCAGGTTGTAGAAGCTCCTCCTTCGGGAGCGGGCCCGGGAGGGCACCGGCAGCAGCAGCGGTGAGGGGGGAGACTGCCACCCGGTTAGGAGGTGGCGGGGGGGGGGTGCAGGCCCACCCACCTCACTGCGCCCCGGCCCAGGGGCCCTGATGGCTGCAGCTGCGACTGGCTCAGCAGGGCTCCGGCCCGTAACTTGCTGGCCGCAGCTGGCTCCCCACCCGGCTACCCCCTGGGCCACTCTCATCTTCCCCCTTCCCAGGTACCTGGAGCTCCAGCAGGTCCGTCGGGGAGTCAAGGTCGGTGTCGTCCCAGCAGGGTCCAGGCGGCCCAATCCAGGGGTCAAGGGGTTGGAGCTCGGCAGCGTCCCGCGGGCTCGTCCGGCCCCGGCGTTCCAGTCCCCATCGGGGGTCCAGCCAGTCCTCTGGGTCCCTGGGAGGTTCTGCTGGCTGGCGTGGCCTGGCCTCCGTAGCCCTGGCAGGGACGCCTTGGCTGGCCTCTGGGGAGGCCGCTGAGGGCAGCCTGGCCCTGGTCCTAGTCTCCCCAGGCAGGAGCTCTGGACAGGCCTCCATCTCCTTCAAAGGCTGGGCCCTGACTGAGCTCCCTGGCAGCCTTCTTATAGTCCTAGCCCCGCCCTTTAACTTCCGGTCAGGTGAGGGGGCGGGGCTAGGCTGGGCCCAAAATGGCTCCCGGAGGGGTTCCTCCGCCTCCGGGTCAGTGGGGGACCACTCGACCCCCCCTACAGATGGGAACAAAAGAAAGTATTTCTTCCCTGTTCACTTTTTCCACACCAGTCATGATTTTATAGACCTCTATCGTATCTCCCCTCCACCCCTCTAATCTGAAAAGTCCCAGCCTTTTTTTAATCTCCCTTCATCGGGCAGCTGTTCCAAACCCCTAGTCAACTTTGTAGCCCTTTTCTGAACTTTTCCCAGTGCTAAGATTGGAGGGAGGCGTCTGCATTAGACGCATTTTGCATTTTAAAGTCTTTTAAAAAAAAATTAAATCTTGCAAGATGGCCTTTAATTTCCGTGTGACAACAGATTAAGGCCCTGTCTTGCATGGATGTATTCATGTTTATAACTCAAACAACTGTATTAAGATTAGCCCATTCCCACTAATCCCAGATGTTCAACAATCATGAGTCTGGGCTCAAGAAATTATAGGACTTAAATACATTTGGGTTTTGTGTTTGCTTTCTGATTTTGGGTTGCATATTCTTTATACCTGTGAGTCTCTACAGCTTTAAAATATAAAGTGTGTCTCGTGTAATCACCGGAGTCTAGGAGATGGGTCTTTAAGAGAAACCCCGAGACTTGTGATTAAAATCATGTGCAGTGGCAACACAATTATGCAAGAAGGTTAGGCACCTTTGTACAGCCATGCAGTATGAGTAGACTTGGTTGGGGGAGGAGAGGCGAGGGGATATTTCAGCTATGGGGCTTTTTCTTCCAATTAACAATCACATTGCTTGGAAGGAAACTTGTTTTAATTAAACCATGAAATGAGAGCCATTTCAGTTTAATATTTTTACTTAAATTTTTTTATTTGTGTTGGTTTGGTTTGTCATGAAAGTTCCCAGATAAGATAAAACATCATTTAACAAAGATTACAGCGTAGGGCAAGTAATACAAATAACAAATTTCAACAAAGGTGGCTTTTTTTTTTTTTTTTAACTAGGAAAAGCATTCTATCTGTAGTGTGGAAAAATAAGGGGGGGGGAGATGGGCTTAGAAAGACAGGGGAACAGAGTAGTTTCACAAGCAATGAGTGTGTGAACTCTCGTGTATTGCAAACCACTTTAAAGTCTATTTTACAGCTAGAGAGTAGGACACATTCCTAGGGGGGTGTGTCCCAGTCTTCATGACCCCAAAGGGACACTTGTAGATGGGGTGGGGCAGGATTGGCAAGTGGGTAGAGTGGGCTGAAAATCCACATGCTTAGTTTTGGAAATTAAATGTTAAAGAAACTTTAAGTAGGTAGTGGCCAAGTCCTTGTGGCAAATGTTTTCATGTTTACCCCATTCACTCGACAGCT